AAAAAAAAAAAAAGAAAGAAAGAAAGACTGAAAAACTGTCACAGACCAGATGAGACTGAGGAGACATGATATCTAAATGATATGTGGTCTCTGCCTCAGGTCGTAGAACAAAAATAGGACCTTCATGAAAAAAACTGGTAAAACCAAATAAAGTCTAGAGTTTAGTTAATAGTAATGTTCCAATATTGTTTTCTTAGTTTGACAAATGTGTCATAGTAATGTAAAATATTAGCAATGGAGGAAAGTGAGTGAGGAATAAACAGAACTTCTCTGTATTACTGTGATGCGGTGAATTACCTAACATGGCTCTTCTAGCCATAGTCTTAGTAACTCCTGTCAAATGACTGGGTAGGACTATCTAAATGCCAGGTGCTTGTGGCCCACCAAGGGGATTGGATAGTTTGCTAATAATGTAAATAAGAGGCATTGCACCCTTGGGAGGGTTGTTGTTGTGTTGTTGTTAGGTGCCGTTGAGTCAGCTCCAACTGTGTACAACAGAATGAAAGACTTGCCTGGTCCTGTGCCAGCCTCACAATCCTTGCTGTACCTGAGCCCATCTTTGCACCCACTGCATCAATCCATCTTGTTGAGAGCCTTCCCCTTTTTCATTGGCCCTCTACTTTACCAAATATGATATCCTTCTCCAGAGAATAGTCCCTTCTGACAACATGACCAAAGTAGGTCAGATGAAGTCTGGCCATTCTCACTTCCAAGGAGCATTCTAGTCGGTGCACTTTTTCCAGAACAGATTTATTCACTCTTCTGGCAGTCCACGATACTGTCAGTATTCTTCGCCAACCATAATTCAAAAGCATCAACTCTTCTTCAGTCTTCCTTATTCATTGTCCAGCTTTCAGATGCATATGAGGTGACTGAAAACACCATGGCTTGGGTTAGGTACACCTTAGTCTTCAAAGAGACATCTTTGCCCTTCAGCACTTGAAAGAGGTCTTTTGCAGCAGATTTGCCCAATGCAATATGTCATCTGATTTCTTGACTGCTGCTTCCATTGGTGTGTATCTCACTGTACATAAATTATATTTCAATAAAATGTGGAACCAAGTAATATGAACTCTTTGACCATTTCAATCTTTTCTCCATTTATTGTGATGTTGCTTATTGGTCCAGTTGTGAGGATTTTCCTTTTCTTTATATTAAGGTGTAATCCATACTGCAGGCTTGGGAGGGTGGGATCATGCAAATAAAGT